TTGGACTCTAAGAATCAATTCTCCAAAACACTGTCTCATGTAGGACAAGAGAAAAATTTGCTAGAGTACTGCTCTGTGCTTGGGTGTTCGTTCAGAACAGAGTAGGTATTCATTAAAAGTCGAATGCCTGTTGTGTCAACTCGTTTGGCCCTTTTTGCTTTCCGGGTTGTAAGTATTCTAATATAATAAAAACTTTAGTCTGTCTGTCTGTCCATAACGCTCAGGGGCAACTGTGCATGCGCTGCCAAGAGGGCGCGTGGTAATTTGCTGCGAGGGCCCGGAGCCTTATGGACAGAGGGAGCGAGGGAGTTGCTGCACCGTCCCCCACCCCAACCACCACCACCAGCTGGCAGGGCGGGGGAGGCAGCAGGGAAGGAGGGAGGGGGGGAGGGGAGCAGGAAGGGAAAGGGCGGGGTTTCTGGTGGTAGCACCCCTTCACCACTGCTGTGCCCCGCCCTCTGCTGCCACTGCCTAGCCCTAACAACAGCCGGCAGAGAGGGGAAGGAGGCAGGGAGGGAGGAGCGGCAGAGGTGGGGCAGTGGGGGGAGAGGGAGGATGTTGCACCTGGCTGGATGCAGAGCAGCAGCAGTGCTGAGCAATGGGTGTCAGCAGCCACTGGGTGCAAGCTCCCCTTGCTTCTGTTCCTGGGAGCTGATGGTAGTGCGGGACACTTCAGTAAGAGCCTACATTATTAAATACCTTTACTTTCTTCACTCCTCCTCTGCTAGCTATTCCAAACTCAGGCAGAGGTAGCACTTATCTGTTGCACATTTTTTTCACCTTTTTTGAAGACTTAACAATGACCTCAGCAAAGCTGAGACAGAATAATACCCCAAATAAATTTACTATCACCGTCAGATGTGCTGAACTGCTGCTACAAAAGAATGACTGTTAGAATTGGAACCAAGTGCCTTCTAAAGGGTGTTGGGGGAGGGTGGGGGCAGGAGCTGCACTGTGCTGCGCAGCAGCATCACTGAGGGCCACAGCCCCCAACATTCACCTTACCCCCACCCCCCGGAGCCGCCCTTCCCAATGCGTCCACACGCAGGAGAGGGGGTGCGGGTCTCCTGGCCTAAGCCGGCCCAGCCTGTGCACATGCATGGCTGCAGGGACACAGCTGGGCAGCAGCTCCTTCCCAGGTGGTGCAAAAGGGGTCAGGGGAGTGAGACAGAGCCATGGGCAGCTGATGAAGAGATGGGGGCGGGGGGGAGGTCCTTGGAGGGGAAGGGATGTGCCTGGGGTGGGTGTGTGTGTGTGCACATGTTTGTCTGCACCTGAGTGCATGTGTGCATCTCTGCATGTGTGCTCATCTGTGTGCATCTGTATGTCTGCGTGTACATGTCAGGGCATCTGTATGGTTCTGTGTGTGCATCTGTGTCTGGTGTGTGCATGCGCATGTCTCTATTCATGGCAGGGAGACTGCATTTGTGTCTGTGTGTCCATGTGCAGAGTGAGTGAGTAGAGTGTGCGCCCATCTGCATGTGTGCGTGCCTGTGTGTGCATGTATGTGTCTATTTGTGCATGCATGCGTGTGTCTGTGTTCATGGCAGGAGGGAGGGTATGTTTGTGTCTGTTTGCCCATGTGCAGAGAGTGAGTGAGTAGAGTGTGCACCTGTCTGTGTGTGTGTGTGCGCGGGCCTGTGTGTGCATGCAGGTCAGTGCGTGCGCCTGCATGAGTGTTCACGCATGTGTCTATGCATGTGTGTGCATGTGTCTGTGTTCATGGCAGGAGGAAGAGTGTGTTTGTCTCTGTCTGTCCATGTGCAGAGAGTGAGTGAAAGTAGCATGCACCCATCTGTGTGCACATGTGTGTATGTGCCTGTGTGTGTGTATGTTTGGCCATAGCGGGACAGGAGGGCATGGAGAAGAGGCGGGCATGTGCCCCTCCACCCCCAGCCTGGCAGGGTCCCCTCAGCCTCCCCTGCCAGCACCAGGAGGGGAGGGGCCTGCCCCCCCACCATAGCCCAGCTCCCGTGGGGTGAGGGGGCCTCCAATTTTGTGTTTTGCCCAGGGCCCCAGTGCACATTCATCCGCCTCTGGCTGCCAGGCTGGACATAGCGCTAAGGGGGGAGCTGGCACAGGCTTGAACGCACAGCGGCAGGGTGTGGAAGCAGTGCTCCCATCCCCACCCACCCCTGCCCCCTGTCATTATTGGTGGGCAGTTGGCTAGTATTCTAATCTAAATGAGGAACACATACTTTTGATGCAAATTTCCAACACCACAAGCTCAAACAAATGTAGCTTTTCCCTTGAGAGAAAGCCTTTTGTCCCAGAATCCACCCAGGGTGGTCAACCTGTGGCATGTGTGCCACAAAGGTATGGGCAGCCTCTGCGTGTGGCACATGGCAGGTCACGGAGGGGACAGGTAGCACAGAGACAGAAAGTAGAGCGGGAGATTGGGTAGGGAGCAGCACAGGGCAGGAAGCAGAGCAACAGATAAGGCAGGAAGCGAGCAGCAAACTGAGCAGAGGAAGAGGATCAGAGTGGCACTTGGGGAGGTTGTGGGGCTAATTTGTGCCTCCCACTGCTACATTGTCCCACTAAGTACCTGTGGAGTATGCAACATAAAATGTCCTAACACCTTTCCCCTCAAAACAATGCTGTGTACATCTGTGAGTTAGTCATGGCTTATCCAGGGAATTGCCAGTCATTCCAGCAGAGCTGACCCCAGCAGGGTGCAGGGCCCGGGGCAAATCAGCCCACGTGGGGCCCCGCCCCACTCTGATCCCACAGGCCCCGAGCCCAAAGAAGCTGCTGCTGCCAATCCCAGTGGCGGCAGCGGTGGCAGCGGGGAGGGAGTAAGTAGCAAGTGGCTGGACGCAGAGCCGCTGCTCCGCTTGGCTCCGCACCACTGCTGCTCCGCCCCACCCTGTGGGGCCCCCAAAGCGTGGGGCCTGAGGTGGTCGCCCTGATTCGCACCCCCCAGGGATGGCCCTGCATTCCAGTGACAAGCCTGTGGGGTTGCATGGACTTCTCCAGAGGGGAGTAGCAGTGCAACTTGGAAGGGCGATATGTGTCAAGGGCTGTGCCGCTCCCCGCGTGGTCAGCTCAGCGCTGGGTAGCCCCAGCCCCACTCCCTCCCCTCACCTGGGGCCTCGATCTGCCCCCTGCCCCAGCCCCTTCCTTCACAACGTACTTACCAGCCAGACCCAGCTGCACTCCTGGGCACTTGCGTGCTGTGCTGCAGCTGTGCACAGGCACGCGGCTTTATCAGCCACATTCGGTCTGCATACCCTGTAGGACCTTTTTAAGTAGCCCTAGGGGTAAATGTACCCCTGTTGGACAGCCACTGTATGATAGTGTATTCAGTATCTGGGGTGGTGTTTTCAAAATTATTCAGCCTAGGATTAGTTGTGCTCCCACTGAAATCAGATGGAGTACTATAAACCTCAGTGCAGGTTGAGTTAAGCCTATATTTTGTGACTTTGAAAATCCCATCCTGGGTGTTCCTTAACCTCTGATAGGGTTTATAATGGATTCTTTATTACAGTCAGTCTGATGACCTCCTGAGGTCCCTTCCAACCTTAATTTTCTATGATTCTATGAAATATAAATGAACATTTGTATAAAACATTGGTGATCAAGTTGGTGATACCCCTGAAGTTCTATAGAAAAATAAGGATTAATTTAATTGGTTTCTCTTTTTTGTTTTTAAGGGAAAAGGTAGAAAGCAAGCATTCAATTGTGTGGAAATCTGTTGTCATCAACATCAGTCCCTCAATATAAGAATGACTGTCTTCCAGACAAGAATCACGTGACTATTAACATCCAGCTAATGGGACTACTGTTCCATAGCAGCATTATGCCCAGTACTACACATGTTCGTACAGCACATTTGTTACTGCGCCGTCATTTAGTACTTCCTCTTGGTTGTCCAGTATTGCGCCATGCACATGACGCACGATTATTTTTAGCTGCTATGTCACTGTAGTAACATACTATAATGAGAGAACAGAGAGAGCACATTTTTACGGCAATATAGCTGTGGTGTCATGGTTCTTGCCCGTGGACACTGTGTTGCTGTAGTGCATTGCTATGGCCATGTATCATCGTGTGTAGACGTGCCCACTTAGTAATTGTTAACTGGATCCCTAAGATACATCTGTTTTTACACATTGACTGAAATACTTCACATATCAATACAGAAGCCTGAGTTTCCATACTAATTTTAGGGTAAAGTGTAAAATGCATGGGATTGCTGTAAACGTGGATTGATTTTAATGTATTGGGATTGTTCTTTCAGCATAAAATCAATTTGCCAGTTTGAGATCCTCCAATAGCCTCATGAGCTGCTCTACTCTTAATTTTTTCTCTCTTTTCTTTTTCTGTCTGGATGCTTTTATGTGCTAAAGGTGAAGGGACTGAAAGGATTAGAGGAAGCATGCATCCTTACCTGAGGACAGAGCCTCAGTTACACAATGCCCACAAAGCCCCATAGCTTTAATGGAAATGGGATGGCTAGAGCTTAGGGAACCACAGTAGCAATAGTCCTCTGTTATATTTAGTGGAACTGGAATACTGATCCAATTAGGAAAAAACTATTCAGGATAATTAAATAATTGATATTCTTTGGTTTAATTTTTTTTACCAGTGTCATTTTATAGTTTGGTTTGTGAGCTCTCTTCCAGAAACCTTTACTGGGTGCCGAATAGCAAGCAGTTCAGAGATGCTAAAAATGTAACAAAATTAAAAAACCCACCATCACCAAAGAAGGGGCGTGGGTTAGAATAAATGTATCTCCGTGGCTTGTAACACATAATCCTGAGAGATACCTAAATATAAAACAAGTCTTCACTTTGACTCTCCCAGAGTCATTGTCCAGTTTTTGTGAGAGCCCATGAGACTCGCACAGGCATCTGTTTTTTTTTTCATTTTAATATAAGTAGTTGTATTCTGGGCAGAACAACAGTCTGTGCAAATGCACAGAAAAGAAATAGGGTAGGTCTACATAGTTGTATTTGTTTATACAGTCACTGGCTTGCTTTTGATTCTTTATTATTATGATTATTATAATTATTATTATTCCTGTTATTGCTTACTACTTTGATTATGATAGCATCAAGACTCCTCAGGAAGCCAATGTGAATTGGTGAGCACATATCTAATAAGGGTTTGTCTTTTCCCTGAGGTTTTCACCAATAAAATGAGACAGTTCACTTCAGAGCAAAGATGCCATGAGATCAACATCTTTGCCTTGTCCCATTTTAGCAGGTTACACATGTTATGTGTATAACACTGATGATCAAGAACCTGGATTTAAATGTAAAGCTAGGATTCTGTATAGTCAAAATAATGAGTGAAGGGCAAGAGGCTACCTTAAAGTTTAGTAGGATGGAAGGGAGCATGAATTCAGGGGAGACCCACAGAATGTTTCTTCCATTCTGGGACCATGGAAAGCTATTGGTTTATTGAGTAACCGTAAGTATGGCCTCATACACACATACCTCACACTTATTAATATCTTCTCACAGGTCTTTGTTTAATGATCAAGTACTTCTCATCCTGAGTCAAATTTGCAGTGCTCTTAACATACAAAAGTTGGGCGATGTATTGGTTGTCAGAAACCAGTCCACAATACTGTGTTAACAATCATTAAGAATGGGTTAGAGCAGTAAAGGCTTTAGAATAGTAGGAATGACTTAATAAGATCGTTGGGAGATCCCTGATTTTTTTCCTTATATTCTTTTTGTCAATTTACCTCTAGGTGTGTGGAAGTCTTTTACATTTACTTTCATGCGGGCAGAGTTGAAGAGCCTTATGTCAGCATCACCAAGAAGAGGCAGATGCCTAAAGATGGTCATTCAGAAGAAGTTGAGAAGGAAGTGGGCCAGGCAGAGGGCAAACTTTTTACACACAGATCTGCATTCAGCAGGGCATCTGTGATCCAGGCTTTCCTTGGCTCCGCACCTCAGCTGACACTTCAGCTGTATATAAGTGTACTGCAGCAGGAGATCACAGCAGCTAGAAGTATGTATGAGTTATGTTATCATCTATTTATTGGTGGAAGTGAGAGCTGGAGGTCAGTTACCCATGATGATCCTCTGGTAGGGTGGAGTGTATCAGAACACTTGGCCCATGCGTACCATTGATCTAAGTCCCCTGGCACCCCAAGAAGGCTCCAGTGCCAAAAGGGGGAAGAGATCCTCTTTTATACTGGCATCGTTGTCCTTAGCAGTGGCCAGCACCGTACCACCAAGCGTGTCATTAACACATGCATAGCATAGATCTTCTACTATAGTTGGGCTCATCTCCACATTGCCACATTGTTCAGTACCAGATATCCAAGTTACTTCCTGTCCTCAGTGGCACCCACACCTACGTTGCCACTACGTCTGTCTGAACTGCCCTCAGTACAACACCCTCTACAACTTGCTCTAGCACCAGAGGTAATCTTACCCTGGTCCTGCTGGTCCAGTTGCTAAAAGTATACCTCCCACCATGGTGCTAGTCTCCACTAAGTGCATTCCAGATTTGTTCCTCATATCCCCTTGGCCCATGTAGCTTTGGGGCCCACATCTACCCACAAATCAGACCCAGAATTACAGTCATTAAAATTCACATTGCCCTTGTCCTCTAAGGATATGTCAGCTCCTTCCACTTCCCATTTCATGGGGTGCCCTTTTATCCCAAGCCTTTTCTCCCAATTAGAGAAAACAAGAGAGCTGTCTACCTGCCCTAGCACCCTGAGTCTTTTCACTTCTATGGCAGAAAGACCTAGAGGTTTCCTGGACCTCCCAGGCAAATGGCACAGGATCTCAACCTTTCCCAAAAGGAATTACTGAAACAGTAGTGTATTCACCAAGAGACATTTTACACCAATCTGGTCCTTCAGAAATAACATTTCTGATTGATGAAGCTTTTCTACAGCCAAACCACATTATTTGGAAGTCTGTCACATCAGCTTTTCCAGTAAACAAATACGTTGACAAGAAATACAGAGTTCAACTAAAGGGTGCAGAGTATCTCTACGTATTCTCAGCCCTGTCATCAGGACACACCAGGTCAATGCCAAGGAGGAAGGAGCTTAGATGCTTGCACCTCCTTGGCAAGAGGGACTACTCTGCAAAATTGTAGCTCCATCAAGCCTAGCCAACATGGAACTTCAAAACAACCGAGTTTCACATTGACCAGAAAATCCATTACCGGTCTTTTCTCCAAAGCCACAAAATTCAAATTGTGTGGCCACCTCTCACATGATGGATGTGAAGAAAGCTTTAGCTTATTATCTACACATTACCAAACTCTTAGGAAGGTCCCCATGTGTTAATGGCCATTGCTGAAAATCCAAAAGGTCCTTAATCTCCTCTCAAAGATTAGATTCTCCAACTGGGTTTCCAGTTTTATCAGCATCTATTATAAAATGGCAAAGGTGTAATTCAGGCTCATGCCACGGAGGCTGAGGCTGCATCTGCTGCCCCCTTCCACAGGACCACTGTGTCAGATATTTACAGATCAGCAAGGTGAAGTTCAGCTCATGTTCTTGGTAAGCATTATATGATTGGGTAAAACAGTTCCTCAGCGAATCTTTGCCTAAGGAGACCTCTGAGTCCCACCTCAAGATATTATGAGGATTGCTTTGGAATCACCCATATGTGAGTATGTGGCTGTAGATAAGTGCATGGAGGAAAAAAGGAAGTTACTGACCAGTAAATGAAAATGTATTGAGGTATGTTGTCCACATTTACACACATTTAACCCTGTCCTTCTTCCCCTGTCTCTCAGTCGGCCTGTTTTGGGGATTCTGAAGTTGAGAGGAGATTACGGAGCAGGGGCACTTGTTCCACCTTTTATCCCCTAGGTAGAGGGAGCAATGGGGGGAGAGACCACAGCATTTGTACAGGTGCTGCTAGGGTGAGAAATTACTCCAGTCAAATGGTTTAGGAGCTGAACTCACCTACATGTGAGAGTGCATTTGTGGACAACACATCTTGAAAAACTATGGCTACTGGTAAGTAAGTAACTTCCTTATCTTTAAAGAGAAAAAAAAATATTTGCCTCATGTATTCCCTTAATTGCTTGGCACGCTGTTCAGCAAACTGCTCTGGGTACATGGTCAAGCATATTTTCCCAGATGGAAACAAAGAAGAAATACTTTTCGAATGTTTAAGAATGCTTTAAGAATGTAATAGCATAAATATATACACAGCCCTGCAAAGAGTAAAAACTTACTGGTTGCTAGCCAGCGAAGAACCTCTTTATACTAGGTCATCAGAAGAACATGCTTTTGCTTCCTCAGGTAATATTCTCCGGACTTCACTGTCAGGTCAGAAAAAGGAACTGTGGGTGCATCCCACTCAGACTCCCAATGCACTGTGTTGGTGAAATCAAGGCAGAAATGGAGCTTTTTTTTAGTCTCACTGGCAGGGAAGCACAAAAGAGGGCCTTGTGCAAGCTTTTAAATACTGTACTCTAGCCATAATCTGTTAAAATGCTATGTGACATTTTTGGCTCACTAGAGAGGACCAAGTGATACTATCAGATGTCCACTTCTCAACTCAGTAAGTATAACATCTAGGGATAGGATGATGGCTAGAGGAGCAAAAGATTGTAGAGATACACTTGCATCTCTTTCATTACATGTGGTACGTGTGCTGAATTATATTGTGCAACCATGTGATTTGTTGTCTGAAATGAAGAGCTCATTTCTGACCTAGCAAGCCAATCAGTTTTCCCTCTTTGCACATATCTGGCAGCGTGCTGATACTGTTGACATTAGATGCTTAAAAATGGCATTGTGGCTTGTGTGTCCAGCACAGCTGTTTTTTATTTGTTGCTTGGGTCTATATTTGTATTCCTTAAAAATATGACAGAGCTAAACTGGAGGTGACTTCCTCTTAGTTATAAGGTGCTGCTCTGCACATTCTGAGATTGAAGGAATACATTTTAAATTAAGAGCACTAGTCATGGTCAGGCACAGTCTGAGCTAGCAGCATACAAGCTTTCCATAAAGATCTGTTCAAGTACTGCTGTACTAAATGGCAGCAGCCTTCCTTTGTCTGTCATGAAGGCATATTGACCTTTTGTGGCAGTACCATTCAGCAAAATGCTCGCAAGAGACTACTATGATCATGGAACAAATTGCTTTTTCCAGGCTCCTGAATGAGCCTTTGGCAATGCCTCCAGCATACCAGTATATTAAAACAACCAAACCTACATTTTCTTTTTAAGACCCCTCAAAAGGCCTAGATCTGACTGTACTAGGAATTGGATTCCCCCCATGTAGTGCCCATTAGCATCAGTGAATGCATGTAAAGTAGCTGGTGCCAAAGAACTAATAAGCATATAGGGATATTATGTCAGCTCAGGTAGAGAAAGTGCTTATTTAGGCACATAGCTATAGATTGTTGAAAGATAAAGCATTGCTTCTGGCTACTTCATTATGTCTAATGGCTAAGGTGAATTGATTACAAGCAGGAGAAAACTGGCACAGGGATGTAAACAGAATAGATGCCCCCTGAATCCAGCAACATAGCACTCAGCCTACAAGGGCAGAATCCTGTTTCACTGGGCACACCCTGATGGCACTTACACAGCCACATCTCTGCCATTCTTAGCACTTAACAGTATGTGATCCTACCAGACATGAGGCTTGGATGCATGAGTTGCCACACAACAATTGAGCATGCACAGTAGGCTTCCCTCTGGCCACATAGTTATGTGAACATACAGACATACCTTACTTGCAGTCCCAAAATAGTAGCCTGGCAAAAACCAGGAGGAGGAGGGCCCCCCCAAGTTTTAGCCCGATAGCTTATACTTACAGAACTTGCCCAAGAAGAGAGATACCCGGTTTTTAGGTTCCTGTCACGTGGAAGGAGTTTGAACCTGCATCCCTTCAGCTTTCCAATCCAGTGTCCTAACCACCAAGTGTTATCCAGTCCGTTCTCCAGCCCTCCTTTTGAAGCTGAGCCCATAAAACTTGCATTTGATATTAATTGGATAAAATGGATGGGGAAATTTTTGCTTCATTGGAGGCAGTGCTCCAAAGCTAGAACCCCGTAGAACTAATAGAGTCCATTTCATTGAGCCATATGCTCTCTAACTTGCTCTGTTCCTCCTGGTCCCACATAGCTCCCTGTCTTGGCTGCTCAGGGGATTAGAGTATTGTGCTGGGAAGTCAAAGGGATGTGAGGAGCAGGGGCACATGTTTTGCCTTTTATTCCCTTGGTGGGGGCAGAAGAGGAAGGAAAGTGAGGGGGACCTAGAACCTATGTTTTCCACTTCCTAGGCAAGTGCCCTAACCATTAGTGTTTGGGTCTAAAATATGGGAGGGCCCTCCTCCACCCATGTCTTACACCTGCTAATCATGGATTACAGTTCTGTGACTTATGGTTGCCCAGGTATGTGTATACAGAGCTGTGTACCTGCCTGGTCGGAGCATGACTTACTGAGCACACGGTATCTGTGTGTATGCTTATGCATCCATACTGCATGTGGAGTAACTGCTGTTTGGATGTGTAAAGTAAAATAGGATTCCGCCTTCCTCATCTTTCATATTTTTTTTCCTGAATGCAGTAGTGGGAAGTCTAAGTCTTTGTTTTATATCATCTTTACAATTCTCCTGTTTGGATGCTTGTCTTCTAAGGAACCACTTCTCGACATCTTATTGTTGATTGTTAATCTGTATTTTCTGCTTTCCCAGCCTCTCTTGTCAGTTATTTCCTATAGATGCTACTTAGTCAGTTCTATGAGGTCAATACTGTCTGTGAATCTAAGCTAATTTGCTGTTTTCCTGCTTAGCTTGAGTCATCTCATTTCATCTCTCAGTGCTGAAGCCATTACTGCTTGCAGTACTAAATTAGACAGATCTGGTGATAGCATCCTTGTCTTACTCTGACAGTCATTGTGAACCATTCCACCAGCTTTTTGTCTACTCTCACTCTGCCCATCCACATGCTGAAGATGTTTCCTGTCAGCGTTATCGGTTTCTCAGGTTTGCCAGGCATTCTCAGAACTTGCCATATCCC